AATCATTGGCCACTAGGTGAAAATAATGGAAAAAGGGAGTAGAAAAGTATTTTAAGCGGAATTTACCTTTGCTCCTCGAGAGGAAGGCACTCCATTTCAGGCGGCAAGCAGCAACTGGATGAAATCTGTGGTGCTGGCTGGTGGCGAAGATGCCTTGCCTGCTGATGAGAATGATGCTGTGGGTGATTATGGATATGATGATGAGGGTGATGCTGGTGTGGTGATGATGAGATCACTCCAGGCGTGAGCGAAGACGCTGAAGTTAGTGATGGTGAAGAGGGCTGTTTTGTATCTGAAGCAATAGCTTGATGTTGTTGTTGTTGAATAGCTGGAGCCTGGGTCTGGGCTATTTGAGGCTGAACTTGGCTAGAGATGAGACGATGGGGAGGATGAGGAATAGGATGCGAATGTTGGTGTTGGTACGGCGATAAAATATGATGCGATTGAGCGGCCTTCGAGGGCTGGAGATGGCCCGAAGTAGCCACAGAGCCGGGTTGTATCTGATCCGGAAAATGAATAGCCTTCGATGCGCCCGATGGCAAGGATATTGCCACCAAACTGTGCCGCTTAACCTGACTGGCTGATCCTGAAGTTGAAACGGAGTTACTCGAAGAATTAGGAAGTGCGGTGGGAGTGGCGGAGGCAGCAATGAGTGCAGACTGCGTCTGAATAACTGGCCTTGGTTGACCTACATTTGATCACAATTTTTGCAATAGCCGTGTTAATAGTCATATATAAAGTTCGAAATTATATTACAAGTGATAATTTAAGGATAAATTGAGAACAAACTTGAATGAAAAAGATGCAGCAAAGTATGATGATGACAATGGTAGAGATTGCAATCGGTAAAAATAGGCTAGAAGCGAATTTGAAAAAGTAAGAAGCTAGATGGATTGGTGACATCAACTCAATTAAATAGTGCATGGAACTATGTATTAAAAGCAATATGTTGCAGTCGTAATTGTCGTCATGATTATGGTGGGAAAAAGTGAAATAAATGAATGTTTTTTGAAAATATTGGCAACCATACAATCATAAACAATTCTCGAAATTCTTTCCAATGCATAAACATGTGAAAAGTAGGTCGAAAATAGATAGGGCAAGAATGCTTTGGCGCATCTAAAAACTAAAGATTTATGGTCTCCGTGTAAAGGCTGATAAAGTTTCGAGAAAGAGGAAAGTTCGTCACTATGCTTAGCCTTCTAGGCAAACAAATCTATTAGAAATGTATAAATTGAAGATGTGAAGACCAAGATGTTGTGGCTTCGGGTATGGTTGCAGTCTCCTTTCAACTTATAGAAGTGGGTTGACCTCGTTGTCGCAACTTGGTCTTTTGTTCACGAAGACTATGTAGAACGCACCGAGTCCGAAGTCGTCTGCCATACTAGTTGTCTTGATTGCCAGCATCCGACCGTGGACTTGATACATTCTCAAACGTTTTGCCGGCCTCGTAGTCGGCATCATCAGTGA